AGTTGAAAGCAGAAAAGATCAGAAATCAATAATCTTTGCCTCTACTTTAAGAAGCTAGGGAAATAAGAGCAGCAAATCAAATACAACAAAAATGACTCACATGTATGAAAATGCAATAACAAAATCCACGCCATTGTCTGCTATCTTAAACATAGTTATTTTTTTAAATCCATAAAATAAAATAAACCTAGAAAAGAAACTTTTATTATTAGAAAAGAAACTTTTCTCTTTTAGGTTGATTTATGTCAGGTATTTGTTGCACTGACAACACCGACAATAAGGGATCTTCTACAGTCTGGTGATGGAGCTAGGAAATTTGTTTTTCTGTGACAAGGGTAAGATTCCTATACTGCCATTGTTGGGGTGGAAAGGCAGTCACTGTGTTATAATAGATAGAATTCTATTTGATTTCCAGGGACAGCAAAAATGTGATGGAATATTTAGCATTTGAAAAACATGACTAAGCATAGCATTCTGGGCCCTGGTTATATGATTTTGACAAAGCAACCAGACCCTGCTGAGTCTATCCATGGAATAAGGCTGGCTCTTATTTGTTTTCACCTAATTCTATCAAACAGTGGTGTCATCTGGATGCATATGTACCACAGGATCTGTGAAAGCATCTGAAATATTACTTACATCTCTGCATATTAATTGCCCACTTAGAGATACAGGATCATTTTGCAATTTTCTCCTTGACTTAAATATTTTCTGCCGGGCATTGGCGGTGCACACCTTTAATCCCAGCACTTGGGAGGCAGAGGCAGGCAGATCTCTGTGAGTTCGAGGCCAGCCTGGTCTCCAGAGCAAATGCCAGGATAGGCTCCAAAGCTACACAGAGAAACCCTGTCTCGAAAAACCATATATATATTTTTTTTCCGCCACTTACTAATTTTTGGAAGTCTTTAATCCCATTACAAAAATTTCCTGTTTTGCAATTTCTTTGTAAAAACTCAAAAGGTTAGCTGGCAGCTTGTGTACTTTGCCCACTTCTAAAACATGCTTTATTTTTCATAAGTCCCTGCTAGACCTCATATATGACAACATGGTTCATTCTTTTATGCAGTTCACACTTGAATCTTTCTGTAGTTGTGCTGACAGACTTTTCCCTCTCCTCTCTCAAAATTTTTGTCCAGTGGTTCATACTAAATTAAGAATACACTTGGAAATGGTTTTAAGTGATAGCTTTGAGGAGGGTAGGTGGGAGAGGAGAGAGACTGACATTTACTGGAATTTCAAATTTTCACACATACTCTGCCCGGACCACAAATATCTTTGTGCAGTCATTCTGGGGTAGGGTTTAGACGTTGGTAATTTTAAGTATTTTAAAACTCTGAAGGACACCCATATTTAGAACTTCTGACCTCAAGGATAAAGTATTCTGTAATTTCTGTTATTAGTGACATGGGAGGGGCACCCGAGTCTGCCCAGGAACCCTGAGTCATGTCTCAGAGATAGCCGCTCACCTTGGCAAGTCCCTCTCTGTCATCTGATGGTTTTGCAGCAACAGGGGGAATTTTCAGTATCTGCTCTGTCCTGGGAGACAGAGGCATAGTATAGCTAATACTCTTTGTGTTTTTCTTCCTATAGCATGTTTGTCTCAGTAAAATTGTTAATATTGACACTCAGCCATTTATCAACAAGCTATAAGTCAGGCAAGCCACATTCTCTTCCCTGTGGAGCTATGCTTTAGTTGTTACTTCTTCCTCAGTGTTTAGATTTGGTAGATATGGGACTACATTCCTTAAGTATTGGTGCTCATACAGATTTGGGGTCCATATAATTTTTATGCAAATCTACATTGTGTTTCAAAAATACTTAGAAATAGTTGTAATTTAAATTTATTTAAATTACATTTTATGAAGTTTGCATACTAGGTAATAATTTACTTAAAAGTATTTTAGTTTCCTATAAGATTTGAAGTGAGGAAAGAGTAACCACACATGCTAGCAGCCTAACATGTCATATTTCATATTGTCAGAATCGTTTGGTGAGGTAAAATTCTTATACTCTTACGAAGCCTGGACTCTCAGCAGCCAACTCTCTTAGTCATAGGAATAGAAGTCAACTCTTGGGGTTTTTTTGTTTTTTGTTTTTTTTCCTGCTACACATATCACCCTGCAGGGATTTTTCTGTCCCTCTCTTCCAGGATGCTATGAAGGCCCTGGGATTACAGACGTGTGCCTTGGTGTCTGGGTTGCGAGAATTCAACGCTAGTTCTCACACTTGCAGAGCAAGCACTCAATGAGCCATCTCCTCAAGCAACAAGTGGACTCTGGGTAAATTTGTGATCCTCCTGCCTCGGCCTCTTTATTATATTTACTGGTGTGGAACAGCACAGCTGATGTTTTGAAATATGCTGGTAACTACAACAGCTTAAAACGTAAAGAAGGATTTTCACAGTAATACAACAATCAGTTATTCTTTATAAAATGCATAGTTCTGAACTGGCCCTTTGATGCCAGCAACTGTTCTAGAGATTTTCACATCCATTCTATTAATATGTTCCTGAAAAAAAATGCAATTAAGTAAACTACTGGCAACAAAATGTCAGCAACCATTCCACTTTGAAAGGAATTTGACATAGCAACATCACTGTCAATGGAAGCAGCTGGAAGTACCATGCTGTCACTCCCCAAGTTCTGCAATGTCATCAAGGTTGTGTTACTGTTGCTTTGCTTGGAAGTAGTGAGGACACAACATGAAGAGAGCGCAGCTTGTTCTGGTTTCTCATTATAGACCTTCTGCTCTGTGTGGCATGGTGCAGAGTCCCTCAAAAGAAGCACTTTTTAGCACTTTTGCAGTATTGTGAGGAAATGTGGTCTCCTTCTAGTTCACAGATGCCTGGGATGTGGAGGTATCCTGTTTCCTTAAAGGTCACACCCTACCATTGCTCTTAAGTGTAGAAATCCAGAGAGAATGCTGGGGATCTTAGCAACGGAGGAAGGAGGGCAGATGGATAGGATGGGCATTCTTTTGAAGTACTATACAAGGTCTCCACTTATCTTTCTATTTCATATTTGGAAAGGTCTTTTAAGTTTTTTATTCTTATTTTATTTTATTTTAAGCTCACAGAAAACAGCCAAGTGGGGTGGTTTATACTGTGGCACTGGGGAGACTGAGGAACAAGGATCCATAGGCTTCAGGTCAATCTGGTTTACATAGGCAGATCCTGCCTCAAAGTGTTCACAGCTCATGTGAGAATAGGGTTATAATGTTGTAAAAACATGTGGAAACTCTTAAGATTCTTGCTTTCTTCTCACAGCCAAATCCTTGGTATCACTGTGAACTTGCCTGTTGGCTCCGGGGCTGATCCATGCTCACAGGGCAAGTGCACACTGCCAAGAGACCATAGGAAGCATGATGTCTGTTCTTACATAGCTAGGATTATTATTTCAAGAAAAGGAAAAATTATATTCCAAAGAAGGAAAGGACCTGCTGAATTGTGTCCCCATGCCTCAAATAAATACATAATTAGCAATCACCCATTGTTATTTAAAGCACTTTTGTTTCTGCAAATGAACTATATCAGTGTTACAAATCTGAGATCTACGCTTCTATATTCATAAATAGGTGCCTAACTTAATCATCATCAGAGAGGTTTCCTCCAACTGGGAGCAGATGCAGAGATCCACAGCCAAACATTAAGCAGAGCTTGGGGAACCCTGCAGAAGATGGAGAGGAAGAATTGTAGAAGACAGAGAGATGGAGGACACCAGGAAAACAGGGCCCACAGAATCAACTAATCAGTGCTCATAGGGGCTCACAGAGACAGAAATGACAACCACAGGGCCTGCATGAGTCTTAGCTACAAACATGCTATAATTGTTTAGCTTGAGGTTTCTGTGGGACTCCTAACAGTGGGAGTGGAGGTGACTCTGACTCTTTTGCCTGTTCTTAGGACCCATTTCCTCCTATGGGTTTGCCTTATTCAGCCTGCATATGAAGGTTTGTGTTTAGTCTTATTGAGTCTCATTATGCCATGCTCGGTTGATATCACTGAGAGGTCTGCTCTTTTTTAAAAAGGAAATGGAGAAGCAGTAGATCTGGGGGCAGGGCAGGGGAGAGGGGAGCAGGGGTATATTGAATGAGTGGAGGGAGGAGAGGTTGTGGTTGGGATGTATTGTATGAGGGAAAACTAAATAAAACAAAAAAAGATATCTAAAAAATGAAAAAAAAAAAAAGAATCCGAGATTTTTTTGTTCTGATTTTCAAGGCAGTTTCAGCTTTAGAGGCTGTCCTGGAATTCTCCCAGTATACCAGGCTGGCCTCCAATTCACAGAGATCTGCCTGTCTCTGCTTACTGAATGCTGGGATTAAAGGCATCCATCACTATCTCCTAGCTTGAATTTGAGGTTTTTTTTTGTTTTTGTTTTTGTTTTTGTTTTAGCAAATAGTTACACTTATCACTAAAATTATTTTCTGGTCTCCAATTAGAGTCTATCATGTATATAATCTATTAATACAGAAACTTACTGGAATTATCACAACAGTTTGTCTCATGTGTTTAGAGTTTTCAATGTCAGTCTTCTGTAGGTATTGAAAATTAGCTGAGAAAACAGCCTTCCAGAGCACACAGAAAAGTTACTAACGTGTGAGGTAATGGGTATACTGACTTGTACTGATATATATATATCAGTCAGTATATATATATAATATATATATATATTATATATATATACAAGTCAGTATATATATATATGTATATATATATATATATAATTTAAAAAAAATAAAAAGACTTAGCCTAGTGTGGTTGTACATACCTTTAAGTCCAGCACTTCAGAGTCAGAGGATCTCTGTGACTTTAAGCCAGCCTGATCTATATAGTGAGCTCCAGTACAGCCACGGTTACATAGTGAGACTCTGTCAACACATATACTTTCTGAAAAAAAAAAAAGAAATATATTTTTGTCTTATAGGAATGAATGTTTTGACTCCATGCATGTATGTGTACAACATGTGTGCCTGGTGCCCTCAGAGACCAGTCAAGTGTTGGATTTCCTGGATCTGAAGTTAAAAACAGTTATATGGGTACTGAAAGCTGAACCTAAGTCCCCTGCAAGAGCAGCAGATGTTCCTAACTTCTGAGCTATCTTGTTGGCCCCAAGTGCACGTAATTTTATTAGTAGCATTGAGGACATCACAAAATAATATGGAAAACTTGTCGGTGGGAACTCAGAGTAATTTGGGGGGCATAAATGTAACCTTGCCTAAAATAGTTGAAACGTGCTTTTATTGTCTAAGAAAATTTGAGACCATTCCTTTGGAATGAGCATGCCATGCTGTGTAATATCTAAAAGTCACACCCATGATCCTATCTGTAGGATCATTTCCGTCAGCTCCTCCACCCACCCATACATGGGTGGAGATGTCCCACAGAGAAAGGAGTATGTGTGTGCTCAGGAATGAAGTCAGACTACAGCACTGACCACCATGTGTACAGGTCAGCAAGATGAAAGCAAGAGACCCATATTGAAGACATGTATGTACATGTGTTTACACATACTCAGTGATGATGGGGGGAAAAGTGAGTATAAAAACCAGGAACTTCATGCTGAAGTCAACTGAGCAAAGATTAATCTGTTTTTTGACGTATATTTTGCATATAATTTCCAGTTTCTTTTTGATTATAACATTGGGAATTTAATTCATTGATTTTATTGGTTTTAAAAACTTTTAGAACTCACTGTTTTTTATTTGCTTTGTTTTAATTAATTCCACGGTTATGTTTAATCTTATCTGTGTATTTTCACATGTGTTTGTTCTGACTCATTCATTTCTGTGTTTATTATTACAGCTACTTTTCTTCTTTTCTATGGTGTGTGTCCAAAGTCAATATATGGGGTCCCATTATCTTTTTTGATATTTTTAGTGTCAAGATATTTTTAGATATTTTGCTTTTTTGTATAGTTTTTTAATCTGAAAGCTTTTATGATGGAGAATCAAGATTTGAAGTTTAAGTAAACAAATCTATGTTTAAGTGGAATGACATTTTTGTCTCTCAGAATTAACTTCTATTTTCATTATATTTGGATCAGAAAATTATGCTTATTTTAAAATTTTTAACAGAGAGGTGTTTATTTTTTTCTGTGATAGGGATAGAAACTCACATGTAGTATGCAAATAGTCTACCTCTGACTACACCTCCAGCTCCTTCCAGCTGTTTTACATGACTCAATGTGTAATCTTTTAAAAGTCTGCCCCGGCCCTTGTACCATGTACCAGGGAACATGTCTACATATATGCATCAGATCCAGCTTTAAAAAAAAATGTTGATTAGGCCTTTATTATCCTTATTTACTTATACATTTATCCATGTAATTCATGTTTAATTGGTCAGGAATATTTCACATATACCGTGTTATACAATAAATGAATCCCTTATAATAATTTGTTCACTTAGAATGATTTTGAAAAGCCATCTTCATATTTTAACATTTCCTTCCATTTCTTGTTGTGGCTATCATAACATGCACAAATTTACTGGAGAATTTCAATGTGGCATTTTAACAACCACAGTTTGATAAAGGTCAAAGGCCAAGCCATTGCCTTGCTTTCTAGAGGTCAAATTCTGCATATGAAATTCTCCACACAATGTAACACTTGTAAGAGCAACACACATTCTTGCTTCATGAAAGTCTCTCTCTGCAGTGAAATTACATGAAAAATTTAGCAATCACATGAAAAATTCTTTATTATTGTTTAACTGGACATAATAATTCAAGTGAAAGGAAGTTGTCAAAACAGTGTCCTATTTATGTGGATGAGACTCTTGTACACTTAGTGTCAAATTCCTTACATTCATAAGGTGTGCAGCTCTTTTTCTCTAAAAGAATGCTTGCCTACAATCAATCATTTCTTGTCACTTGTGCAATTGAACACTAGTGCTATGCATGGTGAGAGATCAAAAGTTTGAAGGTGAAGTCAAAAAAATATTCTGCCCTGATCTCATGCAGTGAATTATGCAATTTAAAAAATAGTATACCATGGGCTGGAGAGATGTCTCAGCCGTTAAAGGCTAGGCTCACAACCAAAAAAATAGTATACCATGAGAGAAGAAAGCAAGATGGGTATAAGACTACAACATATAAAGTCTACATGTCTGTTGAATAAACACAAAGCCTATAGTAGTATTGTAAGGAAAACCTTTTTCCCAACATAATATTTTTATTGATTATTTGGGAATTTCACACAATGTACCCCAATCACATTCACTTCCTAGGTCCCTCAGGTCTACCACCTACACACTTGTGACATCCCTGAAGAAAAATAAGAAGCAAAAAAGAATATATATATATATATTTCAAGTCCAATTTGTGTAGATCATATACTCATTGGAGCATGGTCAAACTTCCCCAACCACACTCCTGCCAGAAGCCATCAACTGTGAAGAGCTACACTTAAGCATTCCCATCACAATTTATAAGAGTTCTCTTCAGTGACTTCCAGTCTAGACTATTCCTTGGTGGGGAGCAGGTAAGAGTTATCACAGAAGCCTTCTGAGTCTCTCATTGTCAACTGAATCTTCAGTCATCAATGTCACTGCAAAAGAAGCTTCCTTGACATTTATAGCCAGTGGGAGCACAGATCATGAACTTCCTCATGGTATCTGGTGACAGCATGGACCATGGACATCCATATGCCCTCCAGCTTCAGCGTGGACCATGGACCTCAGCATGGTCTCCTGTGGCAGTAAGGACCACATACATCGACACAACCCTCAGCTGAAGTATGGACCACGGATACCATTATGGCCCTATCTGGCAGCCTAGGTCACAGACATCAACATGGCCTCAGGCAGAAGCCTGGTGAGGGCATCCATTTGTCCTCCAACAGGAAAATGGACCACAAACAACAACATAGTCTCAGGTAGCAGCACAGGCCACAGACACCAACATGCGGCAACAGGGACCATGGGTATCAACATGAACCTCCACCATTACCACCACAGACATCAACATGGCTTCCTGCTGTGGCACAGACCCGGTATATATAAACATGGTATCCAGGGGCAGCAGGACCATGGAGATCTTTCAAGAAGGCCCAATTAAGAAAATGAACCATTCTCCATCTCAGACATCTTGTCATTTGTTGCTGAGAGCCAGAGCAATGGTGAGGCTGGGCAGTGTATTCAGACAGGCTCCAGGTTGTTGCACAGCACCCTGCCCAACCTACTCAGCAACAACAAGCTTCCCTCTCCACCCCAGTCTTCTACACCTGTCACCACTGTGGTGACTCTAGTTCCAACTCTCTCCACAGCACACAGGCCACTCTGTTCCAACATCTTTCCCACCTCTTCATCACATATTTGTTTATTGAAATGGTATTGGAAACTTCAGTGTGTCACTATATATACATGCAAATATTCATTGCAGCAAGTCATTGGTGTGATTCAAACTTTCTGGTTTCTGAAGCACCATAAATACTGGATCATTGTTTGGACTTTCTCAGATTCAGGATGATCTTGTTGTTAGGCAATGTGTCTGCCGGCAGGATCCCTGTGAGTTCCAATTCATCACACACACACCTGTCCTTGGTGTCACCGTGCATCATTGTGCTTGCAACCCATTGGCAGTGACTTGGTCCCACACTCTCCTTCTCCCAGCAGGGTGAGCAGCATGGCCTGAAGCAGCAGTGACTCCATGGTAAGGGCCAGCCCAAGAGCATAGGGCAGGCCCTATTCAGTAACAACATGTTCATTATTGTGGCTAAGCTCCCATGTTGCTCCCATACCCTTGAGGGCAATGACTCTAGTTTCACCATTCTCTGCCTCGGGTATGTCTCTGCTCAACCATCTTTCTGTCCAATTTTGTGAGTCCACATTTTAAAAGCATCTTCCCATAAGACCTGATGTTTTTAGTTGTTCTAGAGATTCTAGAGATACTGTGGGCTCTGTAAACTCTTCTGCCACCACCACTTCTCTCTTCAGAGCCTCCATGGGTCTCTCAGGCTCCTCGGAGCTGCTCCCTGGGAGCTATTGCCATCTTAAGTCCTACTTGGAAAAAGCCATTTATATCCATACTTTGGTACCTAGGAAAACATACCTTGAATTGTCAAAGTTGTTAAGAATATCTTCAACATCAAGGATCTACTATTATATCTTAGAGAGATACTGTATTCAGGATAAAAGGTGCTTGTATACTGGACTCACCAGCCTCTTATTCAGCTCGCTCCTTTTTTTTTCTTTTCAATTCCTTTCTTTTGGTTTCTGTGACTGAGAACAGATTAAATGATTAAAATCTTCTCACAGAAACATATCTCAGTCATCCAGCTGTTTCTGCGTCAGAACCTTGCTGTGGAACAATAACTCTATACTACAAATATGCATTACTCTCATTGTTAATAAAAACCTGATGGCTAGTCAAGATTTGGAGGGCAGAAAGAATGCTATGAAAGAGGATGGCATCAGAGGAGTAGGGACATGTGCAAGTCATGAGCCATATGGCAGCACATAGATTAATAAAAATGGGTTAGTTTAAGTTATAAGAGCTAGGTAAAAACAAGCCTAAGCTATCAGCTGAGCATTTGTAGTTAATATTAAGTCTCTTTGTGGTTATTTTGGAGAGACTGCTAGGACCACTCACAGTTCCTGTCAAAGGAGCTTTCACCCAAGAGCCCCTTTGGTCACCAAGACCACTGACCCTGGTTGCCACAACCGATAGTGGGACCCTCACCCACATCTGCCTTAGTCCCGCCAGTCCCGGTGGCCCCAAAGCTGACAGGACTCAGAGGTGCCTCTGGTACAGCTCTCACCAGTTAGGGCCTGCCTGCTTCTTACCTGTCAGGACCAGCGGTGCCCTACCTTAGGAAAAAACTTTCAAATCTGTACAAAACTACAAGTATTATTGGAAATAAAACTTCAAAATGTTAACAATTGGTATTTCTAAATGACACAATTGTATTTTTCTTTTTATGATTTAACTATTTTCTCTGCAGTTTTGTATTTGTATCTCCATTGGGTGATTGTCCAACTGTGTTATAATGTCACACATGACTGGACTGAATGATTCTTCCTTCAGAAAAGCTCAGGGAGGCTAAGCCAACACACAAAGCCTTAAGTTATTAAATCAACCCAGAACCTTCTCAGTAAGGACAGTGGCGATGATGGATCAGCCAATGGGCCCTTGTGCCTCAGTGAGTTTTGATTAAAGGCTCTGGAGATGGGTGATGTGCCTAGGTATAGCAGGTAGAGCAGTCATGCCTGATCTAATCCTTCTTTTGTGACTATTGTGAAACAGAGAAGGTCATCAAACTCACTGGACCCAGGGACTCTGTTTCATAGTACTGTCAGTTTTCAATGAATCTTTTAATTCTGGGATATTAGGTTGCTATAGAGTACCTTTATTTAATTAAACTTGATAGTTAAATATAAAACTTCTTTTAAAGCTCAGAGTAACTATGTCCCTGTGTTAGTTAGGGTTACTGTTGCCTTGATGAATACCATGAACAAAGAAACTTGGGGAGGAAAGGATTTATTTGATCACATCATTGTTTATCAGTGAAGGAAGTCACAATAGGAACTCAAGCAGGGCAGGAACCTGGAGGCAGGAGCTGATGCAGAGGCCAGGAAGGGGTGCTGCTTACTGACTTGCTTCTCATGTTTTGTTTTGTTTTGTTTTGTTTTGTTTTGTTTTTTTCCTTTCCCTCCTGTAGAACTCAGAACTGCCAGTCCAGGGATGGCTCCACTCATAATGGGCTGGGTCCTTCCATATCAATCACCAATTAAGAAAATGCCCGCAGGTTTTTGTACAGCCTGATCTTATGGAGGCATTTTCTTAATTGAGGTTCCCTTCTCTCAGATGACTTTAGCTACCCAACACAGTCCCTCTATGCTAATGGTGAACATAAAATCTACTTGATGCTCCCAGTCTTAATATTCACAGGTGTTGTTTTACACATGTTTGCAACTCTTTTTTTTTTTCTTAAGAGGAAGTATATGAGACTCTGGAATTCTTTAGAAGAGGGCTTTAAACCAATCACATTAGAGCTCTGAGACAATACTTTATTTTCTGTGTGTTATGAAGAACTGAACAGTAATCCAAAACCCAATGAAACTATTAATTTTTCACTGGAAGAACAATATTCTCTCAATCAGTGATGGGCAGGATCAAAGACAGCTTTGCAGCGGGTTGATAAAATGCATTACCTGAATTGTCTACCAAATCCAGCTTGAAGATCCATATTTTTCATTTATTTCTTACATTCTTATTACACAGAACCTTAATTTGGTCACTGTTGACCCCAGTTCTTCCTCCCTTGGATGGCATTGGGGAAGGATTGTAGAATCATCAGATTTGTGTCAAGACTGATATTCCCGAGCATACATAGGGCTATGGAGCAACAGGGGCCCTCATTCCTTGCTTGGAGGATACAAAATTCTAAAGCTTCTTTGAAAGGAGTTTTGGTAGTAACTTATAAAAAAAATTGGGGTCTGGGATTCAGGTATCTTGGTATCACTCAAAGGAATTGGAAACCTTTGTGGCAATGTTTTTATTGGAATCTTATTCATAACTGACAAAACTTGGAAGCAACAAAAGTGTCATTCCATAAGTAAATGTGTAATCCAACTGCAGCAGGAGATAGCTGTCAATTCTAAAGACATTTAGGATAAACTAAGCTATTATAATCTTTCCTACTATTTCTTACCCTCTGCCAGAACTTGACATTATCAGATATTAAGAGAAAAACATTTGACTGTGTGGAAGAGGTGGAGATTAATATAAATACAATGTTCACTCTGGAAGCCACTTCAGAAAGAAGTACATGTTCTTTTGTTCCAAGTGTTTCATTAAGCTACATGACAATGCTTTTAATGAAGAACTGATTTACTGATTAAATAAGCTCTTTATTCCTAGCTATTACCAACTGGGAAGAACGCTATGGGAATGGCTTCTACACAAAGGAGGGAGTTTGCAGCTGTCTATACCCTGGTTTCAGAGCTGGACTCAGAGCTGGGTCATTTGAGAAACTTGAAGGGAGTGGGAAGCTGAAATCAAACCAAAATGAGTCATGGAGCAAGTTGAAGATAACAGGGTGAATTTGTCCAGTGTAAACTGTTTTGATAAGCCTTTTCCAGTTGAAGGGGATCAGGGAAGGCAAACAGTTTAAGTGTGTGGAGAGCAGACTGGAGAAGGATTATTTTTTTTAGGATAAGGAATGTGAAATTGTTTTTAAAAGGAAGGGAAAGAGTCAACAGAAGACAGAGGTCTGAGGTAAGAGAAGTGGATATAATTGAGAATGAAAGTTCTCGGAACAGACAGGAAGAGGGTAGGGATCCAACGTGCAAAGGGAGGGGCTTATCTCTGGACACATATGAGACAGGGTGACAAGAGAAAAGAAGGGGTTAAGGTCAAACAAATATGGAAAGAAGTGAACTTGAAGGAAGTCTCGCTTGATGGTATTTTTCTCCTTTAAATTGGAGAGCTGGCCAACTATTAGGTGTCAGAGAAGTTATGATTAGATCAATCAAAGTTAAAATAAAATGGTTGCAACTGATATAGGATGGGAAATGATGTTAATAAAGGCAAGCTTCACTGTGGAGTAGTGCAGAGAGAAGATACAAACTGGTAAAGACCTGGTAGGACTATGCTGAACATTTCCAATTTCCCACTTAAAAAAAAAAAAAGAGTCTAGTGCTGAGTTCCAACTCAAAAGTGCTGTTGGGTAATAGACCTTCCTTCATGACCATGAGACTTTAGTGATGAACTTGTTTTAAAAGGATGCCAAGTGTCGCTGAAAACAACTGGAATTGGAAATAGATCTGCATTTTCTGGCTGTGCTATTTGCAGGATTCTCTTGAGGGTGCTAAGAAAGCTATCTGAAGCTCAGTTTTGAAAACTATAAAGGGAAGATAGGATTAAATGAGATACACTGTTCTTTCGAAGATTATACTATTGTTTTTATTGTTGCTGTAGTCTAGAGGTGAGTCTACAGTCTAGCAGGAGGTTTCTAGTAGACTGCACCTTTGAAGTTGATATCAGTACTACCTACTACCCCATCTGACTTTTTCACTGCACTGCACACTACCCCACCTGTCATTCTCACATATGTTTGCTGTCTTCTTCCATTGAGAAGAATTGTAGCCCATGCTCTTGAAACACAAAAGGCTTCTAGCACTGTTGAACATTAGTCAAACAAAGCGTGGCAGAAGTGACATTGGACAACCTTTCAGGCAAGGACATAGAAGAAGACTTGGCTTCGATTTTGTCCCATTCTGAAGTATTGACCTGTGGTGTGACTCAACATACAGCTTTGAGATTATTGCACTCTGAGGAGTGCCTCATTTCCTCATGTTATGAGATTGAACAGAAAAGCTATGTGACCCTAAGAAAAGAGAGAAAAGTTTGGACAGACCCTACCTGCTACAGCTCTACCTTCTTGGAGACACGTCTGCCCAGCCACACTACTAATATGTTCCTAACATGTACAAATCATGAGAAACAATAACACTGTGGTGAGTATAAGATGCTAAGTTTATGGAGATTTGTTTTATTGCACCAGTAACTGACCTAATAATTTTTTTCTAGCCATTCTCAGATTTCTTTTTTTAAGTTCCCTTAATCAGTAGATATATTACATTTACTGTCATATTACATTTACTAAAAATGGGATATTTAATTTCAAGCGTTGACATTTCCCCTGCTGATATTTATGACTGGAAATACACTTTCCTTGGTCTGCAGGGTTATAATTCTCACTTCTTTTTTAATCTTCTTTATTTCCAGCTCTTCAGGGAGACATGAATCTGAATTTCATAAAGGAAATCTACAGCAAAGGAGTTGCACATGACTTTCTGGATCCGTCAATTGCTAAAATCAGTCACATCTTCTTTTAGTATCAGTTTATTTGAAACTACTTTATTACCAAAAAAAAAAAACCTGTATCCTCCAGATACTTGTATGGATATACCATTTGGAGATAATCCCAGCTTTCTGCATATTGCCTACTTCTGTTCACATCATAGCTTTGATCCTTGTACACACAGCTAATTCTTCACATACTTTACAACATGATTATTGGTTTTACCATTTATGACAATGTGGTTCCTATTATATTAATTTGCAGTTTTGCCTCTCATGGTCAAACTTCCCCAAACATTTCATCTCTATGTTTCTTTTTGAGGCAAGTTGATGATGGTGACAATGAGTCTGGGAATCTTCTTCCTCTTTTCTTTGCTCTTTGAAAAGAGATTGTAATGTGCCTGCTTTTCAGTTTTGCTTAGTACCAAAATAATGAAATATGTCTTACTGTCTTTTGTTATTATAAAATTCATTGTCTCAACTTGTAAGTTGCCCTTGGGAAGTATGTATTATCAAGGAAAAGAAACAAGCCCCCTTTCCTCACTTTCCTTCTGGTTTAGACATGAGTTCTTCTGGAAAGTGGTTGGGAGATTAACTTCTGACATGATGGAGTCATTCTGCCAATACCACACCTTCTCTTTCTTCCATTTTTGACACTGGCTCCCTTTGGAAGTCTCAACACTCATATGGTTTCTTTCCTAGAACTGCAGAAGAATTTGCTCTTAACCCTAAATTTACACTGATGTATAAATGATTATCAATGACACATTTGTTGGTCATAGTTTGAAGGATTGAACCTTAAGTTTTAGTTATGCTGCTCAATCTCCAGCCCCAAGCTACAGCACTATGAAATTTATTTTTAAAAGCTTTTCCACCCACTGAAAGATTTCCAGTGAAGTATTCATTTCTTTAGCTTTAATACCACTGTGAAGTGGCATCAGATCTTGCCTCTTCCCTAGTTCTCCAAGCTTACCACTAGATCAAATAATTACATTATTTCAAACTCAAATGTGTGTATTTCCTGGCATTGCCTTTTATGTAAGCTTGATTTTACTCAGATTTGGAACTAAGTTGTTTGTCAATGAAGGGAAAAAAGTATTTGGTACTCTCAACCAATTCTTACCAGTAATGGCAACACACCTGTAATCCCAGCACTCAAGATGGATGCAGAGGGGTCAGGAGGTCCTTGGAGTTCAAAGGTGCATACTAAAGCCTTAGCCACTCTCTTGTGTCACTCTCTTCCTCTACTGCAAACAACCAAATAAACTGCCAACAAACCAAACCAAGTAAACACATACTCCTGTGTGCATGTTTCTCTTTGTCAGTCTGAAGAAAAAATTACATTGCATAACTGATAGGTAAAGTCTGATTGCAGAGTTCAGTGGTCATCTTACACCTTCCCCGTGAAACCTGGCAGTGAGAACAGTAGGAAGGATGAGAAGAAATAGATTTTCATGCTGCACATAAATGGGATCATTTTATCTATAGCCAGCTGATCCCTGAGGTGACCACAGAAAAGATGTGTCTTTGACAGTAGTCCATTCTTAGACAGGATAAAGAAGATACATGCTGCTGTAAGTTTGCTCTCTGATCCTGAGAATTCTTTTCTTGGTGTGGGGGCACACACCTTTATTTTCAGAATTTTGGATGCATGGGCAGGAAGACCTCTGTGCATTCAAACCCAGCCTGATCTACATGGTGAATTCCAGACAAGCCAGTCTTATTTGAGCTGAGTGCTATTTGTAAATAAGATATATAGCCTGGTTTATGTTTCTAGAATGCCCCAGGCTGTCATTCTTCTCTGTGACTTTTTATAAGCCTAGCATAAATTGAAAAAAAAATAAAACTTCAATCACCTTGGTAGCTATACATGCAGTATAATGGTTTCCAGGACACAATTAAAATGAACACTATTTTCTCTCCACCATTGATTCTAGGAAGCTGCTGATAATTAGGTGGTTGGTGGGAAAAAAACACTTCTTGTTTACTGCACTAAGCATTTGGAGACTCCAGCAAGAATTTATATAAACATTTCATATGCCATAAGAGCTTAACAAGTACTGGTTGAATAAATGCCACTGTATGACCAAATGCATCAGTCTCAATCGTCTTCTACAAGTCACATCTGTATGACTCCTCTCATCTACAACATGTTGATAATAACAGCTTCTGTCCATTAGGGTGAATTAACATGGGCAAAGTTCTTAAGAAAGGGCCACATATATTAATAGCAAGCACTGCCTTTAGTCACCCACTTCTCCCCAGCATGCCCAAAGATAGTGCACACACTGTGGGCTACACCACTAGGCTATAATTAGAGCGATGTTGCTCAGCCTTGGCTTTATATGGGAACCTTGGAAGGCTTTAAAAATGTCCATGCCTGGTTTCCCATCCTTAATGAGTTGGGTGTAATTGATGAGTGGTTTCACTAGAGCACAGAGTTTGCAAAGTCACCGGTGTATCCCAAGGTACCTGAATAAAGGTTTGGCTCCCAGGCAATCGCCCAACCATCCTTCGGAGTTACCAATGAACTTGAGTCAATCTCTTCAAACTTACAACTCCGTTTATGCTAGATGGAACCTAGAAAGGCAATATCTTCATAATCTCTACAACTTTAGGCCTGTATCAAGACCCTTGTGGTATGTGGGCTGTTGAATCTGTTCCTGCTGCTTCAGCATTATTTTTGAGCAATATGAACATGCTGATTAATTATGAATTCCATACACACACTTTAGAACTGGTGACGGCAGATTTTCAAACCTCCATAGCAGGAATTATTGCTTTGACTTAATACCAGGGAATGGTGAATGCTTTCTGAATAGCCATTTGTTTAACTGTGAGAATTCCTTTAGCATGAAGTCAGGACTGACAAGATGAAAAATGGCTCTGTGATTCATTTTCAGTCCTGGGCTTCTAGAAGCACTTAGATATTTTGAAACACCCCCCTCTATCCTGTAATTGTACTAAGTCAGGACTGAAAGGATCCCAAACATCTGAGTTTGATCCCAGGGCTAAGAAATCATACTTTATTTTCTTTCTCACAATGCACTAATGCTGGGGAAATAAGCATTACTAAGAAGCATTAAGCGTGATTAACTGACAATTTTGAACTTCTCATACTCCATTACAAATAGCTTCCAAAAGTGAGGGGGGTGTACATGTGCTTCCCACAGGCCACTACATATCAGGTGTATCAAATGAACAAGGTATCCATAGGCTCTTGGGGGACATTTCTAAGCACAGACCTTTTGATGCCAGTTATTAAATTCTTTTGTTCTTTTAATACATTTTAAAATAACTCTCAAGAAATGACTGACTCTGACTCATAGTCAGGGGATCTGGCCAGTGGAACTTCTCAGCATGCAGTACTTTCCGAGGTATGCAGAGGCTGTTGGAACACGTCAATGTATGCAGTCTGGAAGCAGCAAGGAAAAGTCAGGTGGCAAACACATGTCACCCCATTCAGAAAACACGAGCCTGTGCTCACCAGAAACTTCATAGCAAGAAAGAAGTCATAGCAAGGCCATTAAGAAACAACAGACCCTCAATGAAATGCATAAACAACAGTGTCAGGTCTACAAAAATAGCCTCTCTGAAATATTTTCTGCTTGCTTTTAGTGAAGAGGAGGGAGCCTCAAACTTTCATATGACTGACCCAACATCAGATTTCATTTTCAGTCAGAGTTAAAAATGGAGTCTTTCAACAAATATTGCTTGCCACAGAAAGACATTTTAGAGACAGGTGTGCGTGCGTGTGTGTGTGTGTGTGTGTGTGTGTGTGTGTGTGTGTGTGTGTGTGTGTGTGCGCGCGCGCGTGCGCACACATGCACAAGTACACAGGCCTGCATGCACTAGTCATGCCCATAGAGATAGGAAGAGGGCATTGGTAGACCTGCAGCTAGTTAGTGAGCCACCCAGTGTACTTACTAAAAACTAAACTCAAATCATCTAGAAGATCCATGGGGGATCTTCTTTTTTTCCAAAATATACTCTTTTCTCATATACTATATCCCCACCCATACAGAACCACTTTCTGTCTCTCATACAAAAGAACAGGCTTCCAAGAAACAACAAACAAGCATGACAAATTACAGTAAGATGAAGCACAACTTTCATATTGAAGTTGGGCATTACATCCCAACATGAGGAAAAGAATCCCAAAAGAAGACAAAAGAATCAGAGACCCATACATCTTCTTTTTATTTTACTTAGAAACAATCTTATTTTACATTATTAATCCCCCATTCTTTTTATCTCCTGTCCTCCCATGCTCCTCATCGACTCCCCCAACCCACCTCCACCCACTCCCCAAGGATATTGAGATCTTCCATGGGGGATCATCAAAGTTACATCGATTGTTACATCGATTGAGGGAGGGCTTATGCCCTCCTCCATGTATCTGGGCTGAAATAGTATCCCTCCATAGGGAATAGAGACCCACTCATTTTCATAGTCAGGAGTCCCATTAAAAATACTAAGCTACTAGGACCTGGAGAAGACCTGTGTAGACCCTGTGCTTTCTGCTTCAGTCTCTGTGAGCTCATACATTCTCTGCTTAGTGGATTCGCAGGGCCATGCTCTCCTAGTGTCCTCCATTCCCTCTGGCTCTCACTATATTTCTGCCTCCTCTTCCATGGGATTCTCTGAGCTTTGAGGGAAGGGATTTGATGGAGACCTCCAATTTAGACTCTCTTTTTGCATAATGTCCATCTGTGGATCTCTGCAACTGTTCCCATCTGCTGCCAGAGGAAGCCTCTCAGATGAAGCCTGGATAAGGCACTGACCTTTGAGTATAGAAGAATACCCTTAGGAGTCATTTGATTGTGTATGTGTATTTGTTTAGAACAGTCATGTTTGATTTTACCCTAGATCTCTCGGTTGTCTAGCCTCTGGTTCTTGGTTACCCAAGCAGTGTTGGATATGGGTTCCTTATTGTGGAGTGGGCTTTAAGTCAAATCAGACATTGTTTGGCTATAATTTCTGTGCCACATTGCCCTAGCAAAATTTGCAGGCAGGACAGATTGTAGGGCAAAGATTTTATGGCTGGGTTGGTATCCACACTTCTCTTTCAGTAGCCTGCATGCATGAGGAGTATCTTTCCATATCAAAGAGATTAGAATGTAAGGGTGAGGACTCCATATGGGCCCCAGCTCAACTCCTTCATGGTCAATGAGTTATGTGGATTCTGTCCTTGGTAACGGAGCCCCACTGTCAGTTTGCAGAGAACAACTCTCTGTCTTAGCATCATCCTGAGCTGTTCAGAGATTTCCATGAGATTGCCTTGGCCAACAACTCAATTGAATTCAACCCAGCCCTGCTACATAAGCCTTGCCTGGCTACAAGAGCTGGCCAATTGAGACTTCAGATCCCAATTACCAGGAGTCGTCACTAGGATCACCTTCATAGATTATAAAAGTCTCAACTTCACTAAGTTTCCATACCACTCTCAAATGCCCCCCCCCAATTGCTGCTATCTCTCTCCACACTCTCACCTTTCATCTCCTCCTCCCATCCTGATCCTTCCCACTCCTGTCCCAACCTACCCCCACTCCACCTGTAAAATACATTCTATTGCCCCTTCCCAGGAAGATCCATGTGTTCCCCCTCCAGACCCTTCCTCTTAAAACTAACCTCACTGGTTCTACAGATACTAGCTTGGTTATCTTTTACTTAACAGCTAATGTCCACTTATAAATGAATGCATACTGTATTTGTCTTTCTGAGTCTGGTTTACCTCACTCAGGATGCCATTTGCCTGCAAATTTCATGATGTCATTTTTTAACAGCTGAGTAATACTTCATTGTGTAAATGTACCACATTTTTGTTTAATTGTGTTTATCCATTCTTCTGTTGTTTATCCATTCTTCTACGTTGTTTCCAATTTTTTGGCTATTATGAATAAAGCCACTATGAACATATTTGGCCAAGTTTCTTTGTGGTAGGATGGAGCATTCTTTAGATATATGCCCAAAAGTGGTGTAGCTGGGGTGTGGGGTAGATTGACTCTCAACTTTCTAACAAACCACCATATTGATGTCCATAGTAGCTATACAAGTTTGCACTCCCACCAGCAATGGAGGAGTGTTCCCCTTGCTCCACAACCTCACCAGCAAGAGCTGTTACTTTGTAGTTTTTATCTTAGCCATTCTGACAGATGCAAGATAGAATCTCTTAGTTGTTTTTATCTGCATTTTCTTGATTGCTAATGATGTTAAACATTTCCTTAAGTGTTTCTCAACTATTTAAGAATTTTCTATTGAGAACTCTTTGTTTAGATTTGTACCCCATTTTAATTG